AGAAAAAATGTATATTCGTATATTAAATATATTTATATATAATATAAATTATATAAATATAAATATATACATGTAAATATTTTCAAAATATTGACTGTATGAGTGTGTATTTATATATACATAATAAATATACACAGCACACACACATATATTATGTAAACAAAAAAAATTATTTTGGATGTGATTAATCGCGATTATCATGTTTTGGAACCCAATATATAGTTTGGTTCCAAAACATGATAAACGCCATTTAAAAAAAATGTAATGTATCACAGACATATCTCATGAGTCCTTTCATAAGCAAAGTGAGAGATTCATTGATTATAGATGTGAGATCGAGATGAACTGAGCTGAGTGCCAGCTTTTAATGATTTTTAAAGGAGTTTGTAAATGTGATACTGATTTAATACAATACAATTCAATAAACAAGAAGTTAATATTAAGTGACTTACATTGTCTGACTATAACACTATTGTCTGATTTTGCTCTATTTCGTCGTCGAAAATAGTTTAAAACAAAGACACAGCTCAGCCGCTGCGCGTCTCCATTCAAACACAGCGGTGTTTCGTTTATGAATGAACTTTTTTTTTTTAAACGAATCTAGTGAGTCAGTGATTCATGATTACCCATTCATAAAGACAGTCACTTGATTCACTATGAAAAAATAGAGCCTCTAACACTAATGTTACCTATTCATTTTCTCTTCTATCTACTTGTTTTCATTTTATTTGTTATAAAAAAAACAACCCTTGCTACGTGTACTGCGTTGGGCTAACCGTGACTTGTCTCAGCATTGCTCTTTTGTTGTTTTGATTGCCTCTGTTGTCCTCATTTGTAAGTCGCTTTGGATAAAAGCTTCTGCTAAATGTAAATGCAAATATATCACTGATGAATTGTGCACAATACGACCTATTAGTAAATGGTCATTTATTGTATTTTGCACAATGTTTAATTCATCTGAAGTCTCTTGGGTGTCCAGACATGCTGCTGTAACACTGCTTTGTGTGTTTGTGTGCTTCCTCAGGCTTATTGAGAGACCAGAGCAGAAGATCTCACTGGAGGACTTCCAGAACTTCCTGATTGAACATCAGAAGGTTAGACATTCACTTCTCATGTTATTACACAAACAAAACCAGACGTTGTTTACACATGAATTGTACAGATGTATAGTTGTTTGTACAGTACAGCGTGGCGTGTTGGTACAGAATCTGTACTAGAGATGTTTGGTAGTAACTCTGTGTGTGTGTCTGCAGGAGCTCTGGGCTACAGACAATAACAAGGTGCAGGAGTTCATGTTCCTCTACCTGAAGGATCCTCTGCGAGAGATCGAGCAGCCATACTTTCATCAAGACGAGGTGACGTTTACATACACATGAAGTGATTAGTGCATTCTGGGTACGCATGTGTTAAGTTCCTTGGGAAAGAAACCAATAGCTGTGCAGTTGCAAGCACCACGCTTTACCCACATCAGCACTTCCTGCTGTGACCTCAGATCTTTGTTTGATATACCTGATCTCCCTCTTTCTGACCTTAATTACTCGCTTTTGAATTTCCATCTGCTGTTTGAAATAACTACTTAAATGAGGTGTATATTTATTGAACTTTCATGAAGATGTAGCTTACATTCATGGTATTGTGTTCATACAGTGGGTACGGAAAGTATTCAGACCCCCTTAAATTTTTCACTCTTTGTTATATTGCAGCCATTTGCTAAAATCATTTAAGTTAATTTTGTTTCCTCATTAATGTACACACAGCGCTGTATTAGATCAAAAGGGTGCTTCTACTAAATACTGAGCATTTTTCAGTTTTTCTTTTTTAATAAATTTGCAAAAATGTCAACAATTCTGTGTTTTTCTGTCAATATGGGGTGCTGTGTGTACATTAATGAGGAAAAAAAATTAACTTAAATGATTTTAGCAAATGGCTGCAATATAACAAAGAGTGAAAAATTTAAGGGGGTCTGAATACTTTCCGTACCCACTGTATATATATATATATTTTTTTTTTTGTAGCTAATTGGAGTGGATATTTTCACACAAATTGAGATCTGAATGCATTTTATTTATTCAAGTTTATTGTTTTTAAACGATATGTAGCTATGTATGAACTCCTGTAAAGTAAATAGAAAACCAAATGGCTTATTTAATATTTACTTTGACCTCCTGTCCTTGTAGAACCACTCTTCCGAGTTAATATTCCCTTCACTTATAATTTGTTGAAAAAGGCCAGATACACAGACTTCTGTGTGTTTTTTTTGGTACCCCTTCATGAGAATTGGTGTTTAGCTCTTAAGCCAGTTTTAGTGTTGAACAGGCTACTTGCTCATGCTTACTTGCTGTTTGTAACGCAAGCGTCATGTGTTGTGGTTCTCAGTTGCTCACGTATCTGTTCTCTAAAGAGAACACTATCTGGGACTCGCAGCTCGATCAGGTGAGGCCCGAGGACATGAACAACCCCCTGTCCCACTACTGGATCTCCTCGTCCCACAACACGTGAGTAGAGGAGTGACCAGCGCTCCCTCTAAACTACACACTGATGTGAGCAAAAAACTAAGAAATGGACTGGTGTCTTTTCAGTATGTTTTCAGTAGTTTCAGTTATACAGTGCTGATTAATCAAGAATCTGTATGTTTATTAAAATGCTCTCTACAGGTAGCAAGTAACTAGTTCAGATAAGTTATCAACAGACAGATAAAGGACCGTAATGTGTGGTCTCTAGATAATTTACATTCATCCATTTTGTTAGTTGGTCATCCATTGGTTAGGTAGTTAGTTGGTCGGTCCATTATTTGGTTAGTTGGTCAGTTTTTTTTAGTTGATCAGTTATAGTTAGTGTAAAATTGATCATCCTCAAAGAACCAGAATGTTAGATAATGGGAAAAGGGTTTGTTGGTTGGTTTGTTTGTTAGTTAGTGTATAAAATAATTTTTCCTCCAGCAACCAAAATGTTAGATGATGGGGAATGTTTTGGTTTCTGTTGGTACAGTGGTGGCCAAAATTGTTAGAACACTTGGCATATTTAAAAGGTTTCAGTTGTTTTTGTTGAATTGGCCATTACAATACCCATAAAACTAAGTATTTGCGGATCTACCTGCGATGGAAGGAATCTGCTGGAACATTGAAAATGATGGACTTGCTCCTCAAAGTCCAGACCTCAACCCCATCGAGCAAATTTGGAGCGAGTTGGAAAATAAACTGGACAGATCTGTTGTACATTCAAAGGAAAGCCTTTGGCTTGAGTTGCAGAAGGCATGGGATAACATAGTGGATATTTTCACACAAATTGAGATCTGAATGCATTTTATTTATTCAAGTTTATTGTTTTTAAACGATATGTAGCTATGTATGAACTCCTGTAAAGTAAATAGAAAACCAAATGGCTTATTTAATATTTACTTTGACCTCCTGTCCTTGTAGAACCACTCTTCCGAGTTAATATTCCCTTCACTTATAATTTGTTGAAAAAGGCCAGATACACAGACTTCTGTGTGTTTTTTTTGGTACCCCTTCATGAGAATTGGTGTTTAGCTCTTAAGCCAGTTTTAGTGTTGAACAGGCTACTTGCTCATGCTTACTTGCTGTTTGTAACGCAAGCGTCATGTGTTGTGGTTCTCAGTTGCTCACGTATCTGTTCTCTAAAGAGAACACTATCTGGGACTCGCAGCTCGATCAGGTGAGGCCCGAGGACATGAACAACCCCCTGTCCCACTACTGGATCTCCTCGTCCCACAACACGTGAGTAGAGGAGTGACCAGCGCTCCCTCTAAACTACACACTGATGTGAGCAAAAAACTAAGAAATGGACTGGTGTCTTTTCAGTATGTTTTCAGTAGTTTCAGTTATACAGTGCTGATTAATCAAGAATCTGTATGTTTATTAAAATGCTCTCTACAGGTAGCAAGTAACTAGTTCAGATAAGTTATCAACAGACAGATAAAGGACCGTAATGTGTGGTCTCTAGATAATTTACATTCATCCATTTTGTTAGTTGGTCATCCATTGGTTAGGTAGTTAGTTGGTCGGTCCATTATTTGGTTAGTTGGTCAGTTTTTTTTAGTTGATCAGTTATAGTTAGTGTAAAATTGATCATCCTCAAAGAACCAGAATGTTAGATAATGGGAAAAGGGTTTGTTGGTTGGTTTGTTTGTTAGTTAGTGTATAAAATAATTTTTCCTCCAGCAACCAAAATGTTAGATGATGGGGAATGTTTTGGTTTCTGTTGGTACAGTGGTGGCCAAAATTGTTAGAACACTTGGCATATTTAAAAGGTTTCAGTTGTTTTTGTTGAATTGGCCATTACAATACCCATAAAACTAAGTATTTGCGGATCTACCTGCGATGGAAGGAATCTGCTGGAACATTGAAAATGATGGACTTGCTCCTCAAAGTCCAGACCTCAACCCCATCGAGCAAATTTGGAGCGAGTTGGAAAATAAACTGGACAGATCTGTTGTACATTCAAAGGAAAGCCTTTGGCTTGAGTTGCAGAAGGCATGGGATAACATTAGTGTTGTAGTTCTCAGGAAATATATTGACACTATGCCAGAGAGATGTGCTGCTATAATTGCTGCAAAAGGTTAAAACAGTACAACTGACTTCATCTGATATTTGTTGTGCTCAGAGCAACCATCTGCATGTTTAATGAACATTATGAAATGAAATTATGTTTTGGAGGCAAAAAAGATCAATATTTTCAGACATGTCGGGTGTTCTAACAATTTTGGACACCACTGTATGTTGGTTTGTTAGAATATAAAATTAAACACCCTCAAAGAACCAAAATGTTTGGTGATGGAGAAAGGACTAGTTAGTTAGTTATAGTATAAAATGAATCTCCCTTGAGCCATAATGTTATATGTGGGAAAAGATTTGGTTAGTTGGCTGGTTAGTTAGTTATAGTATAAAATGAATCCTCCTTGAACCTTAATGTTAGGTGATGGGGAAAGATTTGGTTAGTTAGTTTTAGTTAGTTAGTTAGTTAGTTATAGTATGAAATGAATCCTCCTTGACCCATAATGTTATATGTGGGAAAATATTTGGTTAGTTGGCTGGTTAGTTAGTTATAGTATAAAATGAATCCTCCTTGATCCTTAATGTTAGATGATGGGGAAAGATTTGGTTAGTTGGCTAGTTAGTTAGTTACATTATAAAATGAATCCTCCTCGAACCTTAATGTTAGATGATGGGGAAAGATTTGGTTAGTTGGCTAGTTAGTTAGTTATAATATAAAATGAATCCTCCTCGAACCTTAATGTTAGATGACGGGGAAAGATTTGGTTAGTTGGCTAGTTAGTTAGTTATAATATAAAATGAATCCTCCTCGAACCTTAATGTTAGATGACGGGGAAAGATTTGGTTAGTTGGCTAGTTAGTTAGTTATAATATAAAATGAATCCTCCTCGAACCTTAATGTTAGATGACGGGGAAAGATTTGGTTAGTTGGCTAGTTAGTTAGTTATAATATAAAATGAATCCTCCTCGAACCTTAATGTTAGATGACGGGGAAAGATTTGGTTAGTTGGCTAGTTAGTTAGTTATAATATAAAATGAATCCTCCTCGAACCTTAATGTTAGATGACGGGGAAAGATTTGGTTAGTTGGCTAGTTAGTTAGTTATAATATAAAATGAATCCTCCTCGAACCTTAATGTTAGATGACGGGGAAAGATTTGGTTAGTTGGCTAGTTAGTTAGTTATAATATAAAATGAATCCTCCTCGAACCTTAATGTTAGATGACGGGGAAAGATTTGGTTAGTTGGCTAGTTAGTTAGTTATAATATAAAATGAATCCTCCTCGAACCTTAATGTTAGATGACGGGGAAAGATTTGGTTAGTTGGCTAGTTAGTTAGTTATAATATAAAATGAATCCTCCTCGAACCTTAATGTTAGATGACGGGGAAAGATTTGGTTAGTTGGCTAGTTAGTTAGTTATAATATAAAATGAATCCTCCTCGAACCTTAATGTTAGATGACGGGGAAAGATTTGGTTAGTTGGCTAGTTAGTTAGTTATAATATAAAATGAATCCTCCTCGAACCTTAATGTTAGATGACGGGGAAAGATTTGGTTAGTTGGCTAGTTAGTTAGTTATAATATAAAATGAATCCTCCTCGAACCTTAATGTTAGATGACGGGGAAAGATTTGGTTAGTTGGCTAGTTAGTTAGTTATAATATAAAATGAATCCTCCTCGAACCTTAATGTTAGATGACGGGGAAAGATTTGGTTAGTTGGCTAGTTAGTTAGTTATAATATAAAATGAATCCTCCTCGAACCTTAATGTTAGATGACGGGGAAAGATTTGGTTAGTTGGCTAGTTAGTTAGTTATAATATAAAATGAATCCTCCTCGAACCTTAATGTTAGATGACGGGGAAAGATTTGGTTAGTTGGCTAGTTAGTTAGTTATAATATAAAATGAATCCTCCTCGAACCTTAATGTTAGATGACGGGGAAAGATTTGGTTAGTTGGCTAGTTAGTTAGTTATAATATAAAATGAATCCTCCTCGAACCTTAATGTTAGATGACGGGGAAAGATTTGGTTAGTTGGCTAGTTAGTTAGTTATAATATAAAATGAATCCTCCTCGAACCTTAATGTTAGATGACGGGGAAAGATTTGGTTAGTTGGCTAGTTAGTTAGTTATAATATAAAATGAATCCTCCTCGAACCTTAATGTTAGATGACGGGGAAAGATTTGGTTAGTTGGCTAGTTAGTTAGTTATAATATAAAATGAATCCTCCTCGAACCTTAATGTTAGATGACGGGGAAAGATTTGGTTGGTTGGTTGGTTTGTTACTTAGTTAGTTAGTTAGTTGGTTAGTTACATTATAAAATGAATCCTTCTTGAGCCATAATGTAAGATGATGGGGAAAGATTTGGTTAGTTGGCTAGTTAGTTAGTTAGTTATAGTATAAAATGAATCCTCCTTGAGCCATAATGTTAGATGATGGGGAAAGATTTGGTTAGTTGGCTAGTTAGTTAGTTAGTTATAGTATAAAATGAATCCTCCTTGAGCCATAATGTTAGATGATGGGGAAAGATTTGGTTGGTTGGTTTGTTAGTTAGTTAGTTGGTTGGTTAGTTATAGTATAAAATGAATCCTCGATGAGCCATAATGTTAGATGATGGGGAAAGATTTGGTTAGTTGGGTAGTTAGTTAGATAGTTATAGTATAAAATGAATCCTCCTTGAGCTATAATGTTAGATGGCTAGTTAGTTAGTTATAGTATAAAATGAATCCTCCTTGAACCTTAATGTTAGATGATGGGGAAAGATTTGGTTAGTTAGTTTTAGTTAGCTAGTTAGTTATAATATAAAATGAATCCTCCTTGAGCCATAATGTTAGATGATGGGGAAAGATTTGGTTAGTTGGCTAGTTAGTTATAGTATTTATAATACATAATAATATGTATTTGCATACATCTATTACAGAGTGTATGCCTAAAAATAAAATAAAATAAAATTCCCAAAAATTTACATGATGGGGAACAACTGGCTGGTTGAGTAGTTAGAGTATGTCATGATTCCTCCTCAAATAATTAAAATGTTAGGTAATGGGAAAAGGTTTTGAACAGATATGCACGATGCTCTCCTACATTTTTTATTATTGATCATAAAATTATATTTGATTTTATTGATCATAAAACGATGCTCTTCTACATTTTACCAAAGATCATATATATATATATATATATATATATACACACACACACACACTAAATCATAAATGTGTTGCCATAATAATTATGAAAATGAGCCTGTCAAATAAATGTCTGGCTGACGTACACATGCTTTCAGAGTTGTGGCTTCCTAATGTGTAATGTTGAACAACCAACACAATATGCAACTTGAACAAAGAGAAGTCATCTGTGAAAGTGTATTGTGTCTCTGTCAGTATCCTGTAAACGTGAATAGAAAGACACAGATGTTGGGGAGTGTCTGAATCTGAAAAGGGCAGATGAGTGGAGAGATTTCTGTATCTTTTCATACGATATGACTTTCAGACTGGTTAAGTGTTACTGTTGTTCATTGCATACTTTTGCTTTGAGTGCATAATTGATTTTAAATCCTAGCATTTGTTTTCTTTCGTGACTCCAGAACAATTAAGGTAGATTTTTGTGTTTAACTGGTGTAACTAGATTATAAAGCTGTTAGGTAGTTTAAGGGGAAGCAATTAAAGACTGACAGAATGGAAAGAATCCTTTGACTTGTTTGTAAAGAATATTGGCGTGGTTTATGAGCTGTAGTAGAGGTGTGAGGTTATTGATCTTGAGAGTAAGGTGTGTGCCAGTGCTGATGTGTGTTAGGGAGTAACTCAGACAGGCCCTGACGTGTGTGCTTGTATTTTTAGCTATCTGACGGGAGACCAGTTTTCCAGTGAGTCGTCTCTGGAGGCGTACGCCCGCTGTCTGCGGATGGGCTGCAGATGCATCGAGTGTGAGTCTCAACGCAACACTCAGCCAGCCATTATTAACGATGCACACTGCTGTTGATGAATGCTTTATATGCAAACTCATTTTTAAATATTTCTGTTTTTTTATCTTGAAACTAACATGCTGATAGTACAGCTGTTTTGTATTGAGCAACTTTTCTTACAATAGTTCTCTTTTCACCTTTTCCTCCCAGTAGTAAAACTAGCAGACTACACTTCTAGTACACTGTATATTTACATTATTTTAGTTGGTAAATTATAAAATGCATATCCTGCTGTTTCAGTTTTAGGTTCTGGAATAAAACGTGTTTAAAAAAATCTGAATTTCCTATACTTGTTTGTTTGGTTCTTTTGATATGTTTGTTTCTTTTGGTTTATTTGTTTCATTTGTTTGTTTCATTGGTTTGTTTCTTTTGGTTTATTTGTTTCATTTGTTTGTTTCATTGGTTTGTTTCTTTTGGTTTATTTGTTTCATTGGTTTGTTTCTTTTGGTTTATTTGTTTCATTGGTTTGTTTCTTTTGGTTTATTTGTTTCATTGGTTTGTTTCGCTTCTTTTGGTTTATTTATTTGTTTGTTTCATTAGTTTGTTTCTTTTGGTTTATTTATTTGTTTGTTTCATTAGTTTGCTTCTTTTGGTTTATTTATTTGTTTGTTTCATTAGTTTGTTTCTTTTGGTTTATTTGTTTGTTTGTTTCATTAGTTTGTTTCTTTTGGTTCATTAGTTTGTTTCTTTTGGTTTATTTGTTTGTTTCATTAGTTTTTCTTTTGGTTTATTTTTTTGTTTGTTTCTTTTGGTTTGTTTGTTTCATTTTTCGTGTATTTGGTTCTTTAGGTTTGTTTGATGTATTTGTTTCTTTTGGTTTATTTGTTTGTTTCATTAGTTTGTTTCTTTTGGTTTATTTGTTTGTTTGTTTCATTAGTTAGTTTGGTTTATTTGTTTGTTTGTTTCATTAGTTTGTTTCTTTTGGTTTATTTGTTTGTTTCATTAGTTTGTTTATTTTGGTTTATTTGTTTGTTTGTTTCATTAGTTTGTTTCTTTTGGTTTATTTGCTTGTTTGTTTAATTAGTTTGTTTATTTTGGTTTATTTGTTTGTTTGTTTCATTAGTTTGTTTCTTTTGGTTCATTAGTTTGTTTCTTTTGGTTTATTTGTTTGTTTGTTTCATTAGTTTGTTTCTTTTGGTTTATTTGTTTGTTTGTTTCATTAGTTTGTTTCTTTTGGTTTATTTGTTTGTTTGTTTCATTAGTTTGTTTCTTTTGGTTTATTTGTTTGTTTGTTTCATTAGTTTGTTTCTTTTGGTTTATTTGTTTGTTTGTTTCATTAGTTTGTTTCTTTTGGTTTATTT